AGGCCATAAATTGTACAAGTCCGTCGAACTGAATGTTTAGTGACCTTCTATTGAGCGGCTTACTGGTAGCAGTGCTATTATTTGAAGTACAAATGAACTGATAATGGGCTGTTGCGTGTGTGTGCTTTTTTTTTTGTTGATTCAAACGGGACACTCATGTTTGTAGACTATAAGTAGTGTTGAAGTGTCAGATTTAATCATCGAAGATTTATGTACGATGAATTGTGTCATGGAATTGTCAATCAATGAATGGCTACCATGGAAGAATGATGATAAAACTATCGCTCACCCTTTTCTTGAGAAGCAGAAACAAAAATCAACTAGATACCATTAAGTTTTTCACAATTAGCTTGTGAAGCAATGCTGCTATAGAATTAATCTAACTGATCATTGCAGTAAGAACAGGAAGGCAAAAGGTTAGTTATAACATTACTGTTTTGATAACACTTTGCTTGTGTGCCAGATGCCATTAGAGAAACAGTACCAAATACAAAATTTTAGGTTGTGTACCATTTGGAAAATTTTCACTTAAATTTGACACTTCGAAAATAAATTAAGATGTTTGAAAATCCCGCTGTTGTTGATCGACCAATCGAAATCGAAAAAAGTGTTTGTCAAAATTGATTGCTTGTCTGTCAGAAATATGTCTGTTGGAAAAGCAGGTTTATTTGAAAATTTTCCATCGGTCAAATTTAAGTGAAAATTCACCAAAGGGAACACACCCTTGATAACCCAAATAGGGAAATATTTGTTTCTAGTCAGCATTTTTGTCATGTACACAGGTATCTTGTTGTTGTGTGGAAAAACCCTGAGAAACATGAAAGTGAATCCACTAGGCTTTAAGACATGAATCCACAGAGAAAAAACACCAATGAGAGAGAATTTCAAGAAATACTCCGAGGAATTCATTAGCAATTCTATTACCAATCTAGACAACTCAAGTAGGTACGACATCTCGGTGAAAATGGCTCTTGTAATCAACCCGCCTGGAACTAGTCCTATAGGCGTGCAGTGGGTAAGGTAGATCGACCAGGTGGAAGGTGACCTTCGGAGATTTTGCAGATAGTGGAACAAGCGACATTTAGCTATGGATCGAGTGGAATGAATACGACTTCTACGTACAGCTAAGGACAATCACCGAACCTGCTAATGGATCAGTGTTTTTCTTATATAGACATTAAATTGGATCTGTTAGCGAAGAATACTGGACCCTTCCTAAAAGTTCCCCAGTCATCTCAAACTTTGGATACCCATTCGTTAAACTCTGTGACCTGCACTGAACGTTCAACAAACTTATCATTTCACTCTGTTTGTATGGGTAGTACATACAACAGAAACGGCCAAAAATGGAAAAGTTTGTTATCAAAAGAGCAACACTACTCCCGAAAAGGTGGAAATTAAAAATCCAATAATGATTTACTGTCTGAGTATGCGTATACTTCTATCAATGCACAGTGGTCCAGTATGGAAATTGACGTTCGGTGTTAATTTTAATAACTTAAAAAGCTTTTTATTTTGGCTTATTTTAAAAGTAGGGATTTTTTTAATTGATATTCAAAATCTAACATTCTTATTTTTAAAACAGACTCTAATTATTCGGAAAATTTGCAGTAGAGATGATTGCAAGCGACTTGATTGAATGTTATTTTTTAAATCTCTTTACGATCTCATTTTAGAGCAATTTATGTGAAATGCCTTGGGGTGTTCCAGAAAAATGTTTAAGAGCAAGAGCTAACTTTTTTGTTGCATAATATTTCCTGAAAAAGTCCAAGATAGCTTATAGAACTTATAAAAATGTACATTTTAGTTGAATCAATTAAAAACAATGTCTTAACTAGCAACGTTACAGGATAGAATAAATGATTCTTCAATAATTGTACATAATTGTAGCTACAGATTTGCCGGAAATCATGTGTCATTATTTTTAAAAATAAGAAAGTTAGTTTTTGACTATCAATTAATTTGAGGAACACCCTAACTTGGAAAACGACAAAAAGAAGGAGAATTTTAAGCAAAAAAGTTTACCGAAGACACCAAATATCTTTAACATACGACAAAAGCTCTAGCACTTTTGTCCTGCAAAATTCCCATCTTGTATTACTGTGCACTGAGGAGAATGTATCATCGGAGGATTGGATGGAAGGTGTCATGAGTCCAACTTACAAAAAGTTGGATTGCTGCAACAATGCTGAGCATCACCTAAAAGGTTCTCTCTTAAATACTATGCCTCCATCTCCATCTACCAATAGAAATAGAATTCTCGAGGCAAAACCAAACGGGATTCATGGGTGCCAGATCTACCATAGACCACACTTTCACGATTTGTTCGATCTGAAGAAATGTCGTCAATACGTGCTCACATATCATTAGATCGTTGATTTCAAATCGGTAAACGACACAATTAATCGAGACTGCCTATGGCAAACTATGCACGAATACGGGTTTCCGGATAAACTGACGCGATTGATCAAGGTGACGGGGAACCGAGTGATATGCGTTGTGGAGTCCCATCAAATTGTGAAGATGTTACGGCAAGTATATGGACTTTAATCACCGACGAACCGACATGCGACAGGAGCATTTCGTTTGTCCACAATTCGAATTGTCAAACGAGCGATTCGAACTTTTAAACGGGCGATCAGATCTGTCAAATGAGGTGAGACGCAAACCAACCCTAATAAAAAATAACCATAAACGAACGATAACCCAAATCATCGAACTATTCAACAAATGGTTTGGATGATACTCAGAACACGTCGTTAAGCAAATTAACCATACAATTTTTATTAGGGAAGGCAAAATAAATTATACGTGGGTTCGTGTATTTGCTCATGGTATGACGCGATCGGATGAGTAGATGTCGGTAGTGTTTAACGTATTTTAAATATGGCGTCTTGGGCACGAATTTGAAAGTAGCTAATATGAGCTGGCACGTCGGTTTGTCGGTGCTTTAATGTTTGTTGATTAACATCGTATTGGTAGATCTTGTCATATACGCATCGAACACAAAAAAGCAAGAGAATGTTAAGGCTGGCGCACAATTTATAAGTTTCCGGGTTTTTTGACAGATAATGCATGGGCTAACTATCAAAAAACTTGAAAAATTATCCATTGTGCGCCGACCTTTAGCCTCCCACCGCAAGTTCGGATTTACGGCGATGAGATCGAAGTGGCCGATGAGTTTGTGTATATTCAAGGATAGATTTTAGGTAGGAAACCGTATCTATTTAGCATTTAGAAATTGGAAGTTGGAAGTCTACAACTTTTTTTTTTTTTTTCTACTGGAAAGTGTTTAGCACCATCTACGGTGGAGTACTGATGGAAGACGGAACGTTTGAACCACAAACTGCACTGGCTGCTGGCAGAACCAACCCTCGTCCAAACCGTAAGCATCTGGGGACTACGGTGGGGTGGGCTGGGTAGGTTGTTAGCATGCCGGACAAAAACCTGGTGAAAATGATTGGAGCTAGACGCAGAAGCCACAGCGAGCAAGGTGGATCGACCAGGTGTAAAGTGGCCTGCGGAACCTTCACAGGCAGCGGAGCTAGCAACGAACCCTTCATTAGCAGCACTGGTGATCCATAACATATTTAAGCTCCAACCATGTAACATTCAATGCGGTAAGGTGGCAACAAATGTAGTGTCATCAAATCTAATGGACAATTTAAAAAAAAATTAATTGTTTTCAAATTGACGAGCACAATTTGCGTGAATCAGGCTTTCTTATAACGTTACCTAGAAAACTTTATCTATTTTCCGCAACGCAGCGCGACATGTATCATGCTTAATCATAGAGGAAAAGTAGGAGCTGTCAAATTAGCACCAGAGCACCCAGAAAAATTTGGCTTCACTCGAGTTGTTCGCGATGACAGGCATTGCAATCCTATGCTAGCAACATGCAACCATGGATCGAGTGGAATGGAGACGACTCTTATGTACAACGCCGGTCAGCCTTAGCCTTAGCCTGAATAGTATGATAAGTAATGTTAATTTATTGTTTTAGATTTTGGGAGCTTAATGTTTGTGAAATTATTTTTCAATGATTTGGTGATGCCGAACATTTTTTTGTTTATTTACTGAGGAGAATCAAATCAGTAGATTCTGTTCTAAATCTAACTTAAACTTGTAATTGGCTTTATATCATTTGATATAATTTGGCATTGAAAATAACCATCCAAACTCATTAATTTATTTAAATAAAAAATCCTATCTAGCTTTCCTCCTCTGACGCAACTCTTCATCGACGTGGAAATCCTAGATCACAAGCAATTTGTTTTCCGTGTAGCACCATTGAACAACACACGTCTCTATTTCACTCGCCCGTTAAATCGTTCATAACTCAGACCCTTGATTTTTCTCATCCAACTCCATTCCGCTTGGTTGATATGTTTCCCCACAATGATACCGTACCAGTACGAGCACCACCGCTTAGTCAAACTAAACGATGTACTCAATTGATGGCCAACATTTTCCGCGCTTGACTAACATCATCATTTTTTTTTCGTATATTAGATTGTACACACACCAGCTCACAGATTGAGAATCATTGCATGTGCTCGGAGTGTCCTCTCGGATGATTTCTGAAATTTTGGGACCAGAACGTGAAACAGAAGATGGGGAGCATTACCATCATGTAGGCCGTTGGCTAGTACTAAACAGAGAGCTCCACCCAAAACCATAAATGCAAGACTTACAATTTATTGTCCACGACGTGAAATTCAGTGTCGATAATAATCGATAAATATTCCAGTATACACGCTTTTTTATTTGGACTGTAACGTACACTACCAATAAGTCTCTGACCACAGGAGGCCGATGACGCAACTGGAAGTGTTGTTTGCTCGCTTCCCTTATTCTAGCGACCTACTTTGATTTTACACACGTGATAACACGGATCGGCAGCTGGTATGCATCGTTTGATTTCGATTTTTTATGCTAGTATTGTGGTAGCATTTAACGCTTTTTTTTTGTATTCGGTTTGTTTCTTACTCAATTGTGATTTCTTTTTTTTTCTGCCAAAAAACGGCGATGAGTGATCGGTGATAACGATGAAGGGAACGAAGTTTTTCTCTTTCTCTTCTACAGTACTTTGAAATATCTCAGTCGATGTACGTTGTGAGCAAATGTCCAGGATCGTACCAAATCTCACCTATACACATTGTGGCTGAACGCGTTTCTCGTTTTTTTTTGTATGTGACCTTTTTTTTGCTTCCGGTATGTTGTATATGATTTTCAAATTTATTAACTTAGATAAATTCTCTTAACTAGTACATGTGACAGCTTAGCTGAGCGTAGATAACCAAAACGAGTAACATAACAAATGACCTATGCTGCAGTAAAATATAGATGTTCCTCTGCTTAACCATTGATATACTGTCTGAAAAAAAGGGACAAAGAGCAGTAGAGGGAAAAGAAAAAAAGATGCAGTTTAGTAGTGATGGAAACACATTAATTTCGTAGCAAAATGTGCACATAAATTTCTGCATTCGGAGCATCGGATCAACCAAGTCAAAAGCACACATTCCCACAGAACTCAAACTCAGACACATGAACCGTAGAGCCACAATGAAACCCAGCACAGAAGTTGTCGGTGTTCTAGTCTCTGGAGTGACCACGTTTCGGGAACAGTTCAATATATCTTCACTATATTGCTATCGCCGCTTGGCCGCTCACAGTATGGTGGGTTCTCACAAAACCGTGACGCGATAAAAGTCACAGTTGCACTTCCATGTTTGATATTGGCTATCTGGGGGCACGTCCTTCGAATGTTTCTTGTTCCATACTACATGCCCTGTTCCATTGCTTTCAATTTGCAGAGATATGAAAGTTATGATTTCTAAGGTATACTCTGTTGGTACCTATTTAACTACATATGAGGATTTTTGATAAATACACTACCGCTCAAAAGAATATCTTATACTGTGTTGAAGTGTTCGACGGTGAGTTTCTGCAATAATCAGTTTCGGCTTGGCAATCTGGAAATCACTCATCAGAACAAATTAATTTGTTATAATTTGTCGCTACATTTCGGCTCTGATGAGAGTCTTCTTCAGATGAAACTGAGGGGAATTTTATTTTAAGAATTAATTGTTTCACATTTTATAAATGTCTGTACTCACAATTGTTGGATATGTTCTTTGTCTAGATACTGTTTGAAGTCTAACGTCTATTTGTTTGCTGGTAAGTTTTTGTACATAGCGGTTTTTAGTTGGATTATTAAAAGTTATATTGAATTTTGTTGTTGATTTTTGTGTGATTTGTGGCGGGTTAATATTTGCGGTTGTCCACTGTTCGAGGGTTATGGTGGTTTTGGTGAAATGGTGGGAACAGGTATTATAGTTGAGCTTTTCAGTTGGATTTAGGTGGACATAATTGACATTGCTGTTGGGCGTTGATGGATTTGGCTTTTGGTGAGTGTAAGATCCCTGCGTAATCTGTGTTCAAATTGTCTACGTCTGTTCGTCTATTGACTGTATTGGGTGTACTATATATGTGGCACATTTCAAGGGATACAAGTGTATTTTTGTTGTTGCTTTGATCAACTATTGCTGTTTTCTCCAAATTGAATCTGTGCTCGTGCACACTTAGTAAAATTCATGTTAGTTTAGATGCTCTGAGACTGATATATACGAGCGTCAATTTTGACATAACATTGAGTCATAACAGACGCGAAATTCAATTCAATCGAACGTAATTTTCGTCAAGTATTGAACTTTGCAGTCTCCGAGCCCTTAATTTTACATGACATGTGTGTTTACGTCTCATACTTTATGTCAAAGATGGATTCCGTCCCGTGTAAAATTAGTTATTTCTAAGTATGTGGGTTTTTTTTCCTCTTTTCGGGACATAACACCACTGTGGCCAGTAATTTGATCTATTGTAGTATATCCCTTGTCCTTAGTTTAGTGCATGTCGTATTACTCCTTCACTATTGAGAAATGATGAAGTATTCGATTTCGATACAGTTCTCATTCTTGCCTCCATCGTAAGGAACCGTTTCTAATTGAAAGGTCCCGCTATTTATAAACTTCGGTATGTTGGAACACCCTCCAAAGGCGCGCCCCTTTGTCAGTCAAAATTGGATTCCTTAGCAACAAAATTAAGGAATGACACCGATAATGACCATGCATCAGAACCATAGTCTTAACCACTTCAAACTAGGGAACAACGAATAGAAGATTAGGAATCACATAGATGAAGACTAACTAACTCATTTTTTTCCTTGTTTCAAGATCATCCTCGGTGGACAAAGCTGAGCTGAGTCACTATCAACAAGGCATAAACAGTAACAAGGACTAAGATGTGTTCCTTTGATTACTGAAAAATCCTGTTCCCCTAGTTTGAAGTAGTCAAGACTAGGAATCGATGGTAGATCTCACATCCCGTAACGTACCACGAAAAGATGATCTACCCACGTTACGGGGTGTGCTCGTGGGTTATACAGTGTTCGATCATAGCTGTTTTGTTTGTTACATCAGCTAATTGTGTTTCATCTGCGCCGGATGATAGTATGGTGTTTAGTTTGTTTACAAGTGATTGGTGTCCCGATAATCGTTGGTCTAGTTTGTTTTGGGTCATGCCTATGTAACAGCAATTAAAATTGTTGCATGGCATGTTGTATATAATATTGTTAATATCTTTTTTGTTTTTAGGATCCTTGACTTTGGTGTGGAATTTCTCTACCGTGTTGTGTTGAGAAGCAGCTATTTTTACCTGTGGGTTGTCTTTTTTGAGCAGTTTGGTGATGCATTCGGTGAGACCAGATACATACGGGAAAGATTTGTATTTGAATTCCAGTTGTGGTGTTGTTGTTGTTTGCAGGTTTGGTGTTGGAGCTGTCACAGCTGGATCATTCTACGGTTGGTTATCAGTGTTGGATGTTGGGTTGCTCGTGAATGATGCATTCGCAGCTGTATTGGCAGATGGTGGAGTGGAAGGTTGCGTGCTGGCAGATGGTTGGCTGGGGGGTGGTAGGCTGGCAGATGGTCAGCTGGAAGTTGATGGTACACTTTTGGATGCGTTGCGTTTATGTTTATACATATTTATGAGTCTGTTGACTAATGTTTTTGGGTATCTATTTGCTGATAGTTGATTGTGAATGATCTGGTTGACATCTTGTTGCGCTTTTTCATTTGTTGTGAGTGACGATACTCGGTGAATCATATTTGTAGCTGCATTTATCTTCTGCTTGTACTGGTGGAACGATTGGTAGTTGAGCATTCTGCCTGATGCGATTGGTTTGATGTACCAGGTTATGCGAAGAGAACAATCTTCGTTCCTTATTACGGTGGAGTCCAGATAGAGGAGTTTGCCTTTAACTTCTATTTCGGTGGTGAATTGCAGTATGGTCTCTTTTCAGTTGAAGGCTTCCAGTACGGTCTCCAGTACATCTTTTGGTATGATAGCAAATAAATCGTCTGCATACTTTCGTAAAAAGGGGATTTCTAACGGTACATCGTTAAAAGCCCTTTTGATTACTGACTCGAGGACTATGTCGGCTAATATCGGTGATAGAGGACTTCCCATGGGATCCTCGAGACGTTGGTGAAGAGGGAGACTACATCTAGGGATACCATTGTGTGGTTAGTTGGAATGGTGATTGTAGGGTAGAGCACTTCTTCGTCGTAATCGCCCATTTCCGTTCTATCGATCAGAAAATATCAATAATATCAATGATTTCACCGTGCACAAATCATTAATACAGTGCCAACATTTCAAAGGGGCGTAATTGCATTTGTAAACAATGGCTTCAGCTATCTATTTCTCACTCATAAAAAATAATTATATCAACAGGTAGAGAAATGTTTCCTCTACTAGCAAGCATTATTATCTTAGAGGGGTGAGCGTTTATTGGTGAGAAATGAAGCCATTGTTTACAAAAGCAATTACGCCCCTTTGAAATGTTGACACGCTCATTGTTCTCAAATCAAGAGAAGCGCTCCTAGCGAATCCCTTTTCTCTACGTTTATCCGTAGGACGAAGAAAATCTAATGATGTTTCAATGCGTTAGGACGGAATTGAAACTCGTAGGACGAATTTAGAATCAAGAAGCAGTATTAGATTTTAAACAATATCTCAACAATTTGTGACTCTTTATCAAATCCAACAGTACGTTCGGAAAGGCGAATAAATTTAGAAGTCATCTTAGACAGAAATATACCATTTTTTGTTCAGACCCGTTCAAAACAGAGAGGAAAAACGCGGGTTGTGCTTAGTAGGACGGAAATTAGATTAAAAACCCTGGATACTTTTTCGCTGAATTGTAGAGAACTGGCGATGTTGTAGTTACTTTTGAGTGAATTGCTCAGGATGCCTGCAACAAACTAGCATAGGTTGTAGGTCGGGACTGTGTGGTTTGGAACAACAGGTCGGAGTGGGAGGTCATTTTTATGCACTTTCGGTTGACCATATATTCTGGGACAGGTTGCGTTGTATGTGGTGATCCATCGGTTTTCATTATGGGTGGTCAGTTTGAGGTTTTGCACGATTTTGGCAATTTGGTTGTTCTTCGTTTGCGTTCTCGAGGTGGGGTCTCTAGGGATGATTTCATACGTGGTTTCGTCGCTGACTAGCCTAGACATCTTTTGTTCGTAGTCTTCTAGGTACATGATTACTGTAAGGTTGCCCTTGTCAGCTAACAGCACACATAGTTCTGGGTTTGATTTTAGGAACTTTTTCGTAGTTTTTTCAGCAGCTTGGCAAACAACGGTTATCGGGTGGTTACGGCTGGGTTGTGCGTTGAAACCGTGCAGGTAGTTGAGGATGATATTTGTTGCTTGACATCTATTGGAATCCTGTGTGTTCTTTTGAGTAATTTTGAGTAATAGGTTGGTCCACCATTGTCGGAATGCTTTTCCGTAAAGCATCCAGAGTTTTGCTGAATGTTTTTATTTTATGAAATGTTTGTTTTATATCGATTTTTAGTATTGCTTTTTTGAACTTATATATTATGTTGTTCAGTTTGTTCAAATAAGGACACATTTCAACCCTTGTATAATATGCTGTGGAAAAACTCCCTTCTTTTTGCACGACACTAGAAAGGTTTTCCTGCTGAGCATGTTGGCTAGTTTCCTATTCGTTTGGGAATAGTCTTTAATAGCTTTAATCGCTTGGGCTTACCAGTAGTTACCATGTATATCGGCCACTTTGATTTACATTGTATTAATATTAACCTGCCACAAATTACATAAAAAAATCAACTACAAAATTCTGTATATCATTGAATAATCCAACTAAAACCCGTCACGTACAAAAACTTACCAACAAACAAATAGACGTTAGACTTCAAACAGTATCTAGACAAAGAACATATCCAACAATTGTGAGTACAGACATTTATAAAATGTGAAACAATTAATTCTTAAAATAAAATTCCCCTCAGTTTCTTCTGAAGAAGACTCTCATCAGAGCCGAAATGTAGGGACAAATTATAACAAATTAATTTGTTCTGATGAGAGATTGCCAGACTGTCAAGCAGAAACTGATTATTGCTGAAATCACATCGATGTAAAAATGTTAGTTATCAATGATTGCAAGTTCCACGAGTAATAGAGTAAGATATTCTAATTGATTTAGAAAGTAATTGCATCAATGTGATTTTAAATTTATGACGGTGAAAGATCCACATCGATCACTTACATTTTCTTTATCAGTAGGCTGGTTCGTGGCTGGTTCGCCTCCATCTTCATAGATCATCAACTTTTCAGCGCCACATTGCACAGTGGGAAAACTTGAGGCAAAAGCTCGGTTAAAAAAAATTGTTTAAATCGTATCGTGGGTCCATATTTTGCGTAAAAAATATTATATTAAAAAATAAATTATCCCAAAATATTTTTTAAGGATTTTGCGTAGCAAATATCATGTTAAATTGAAAACAATAATGTCATTAATTGCTGTGATGTTGTCTAGGCTTGTTTTAATGTCAATTCTCATTTTTGGCGCTGTAGGCCAAGACAAAATCTATATCCTTGGGGGACTCTTAAATATAACCGATAAAATCTATGTTCATGAAAATTATCAATATTTAAGTAGAATCATAAAGTTAAGCAATATGTTTTCAAGGTCTTCAAAAACCTTTTCAGCTACTTTTAATAACACATTGTTGCAATTGGGCGTATTTTAATTATGTGTATCATAACATTAATTACAAAGTTAAATACTGATTAAGTAACATAATGCATTAAGAAGTAAACAAAGCTTATAACGGATAAACGTAATTTGATTGTACAAAGTGTTAGTTTATATCGATAAGGCTAAGAACAAATTATGCTACTAAAATAAACTATCATATTTACTGAATTCAATAATAAAAATCAAAGTGTCATGTTGGAAGATCAAAATGTTCAAAAATATAATATTTTCATCTAATTTTTATCTTCAAAGCTATGTCAGTAGTCGAAAGCAGTAATGAATAAACCCTCTTGCGGTTTTTCAAGCAAAATCCACTATGAACTATAGCTTGCTCGGAAAGGTAGAAAGAACAACAATTGTTTTTGCAAGCTGCTTCATAATATACGACAGGTAAGTAAAAAGTAATGTTTTGTGTTATGTAATTTCACCGCTCCGATCAAGCTATGTCGTCAACCGTGTTTATTGCAACAAAGATTGCACGCAATATATCGTTTTCCTTCTACTATTCTGATCAAGCTTTATTGCAGAGAGTTTATTGTGATAGTCGTTGCAATCGTTTTTCATTATTATTGGTTGCTTTCTGTGTTTGAAATCACTAATTTGGGGATTAAACCTATCTGAAAACATTTATTATAAAAAAAATAATTATATTGATCTCATCCGGACATGTTCAAGGTGCACTGAAAAAGTGGCCAACACATAACATGAGCTACCATGAAACATTCAAACATAAAACTTCATAAACAAGATCATTTGCAACATTGTTCTACAATTCATTCAAAATCTCCTTTTGAGAGAACAAACTCATGTGCGAATGTGCAAAGCCGATATATTGAACCACCCTTTTCAGTTTGAAAAAGCCGTGTAAATTTCTGTCACTATGATGCACATAAATGGGTTGTCATATAGCATACAAATTTACATTAAAGATCCTGTAAAGTTATGAGAAATTTCATGAAATATTCCAAATATTGATACAACTGTCCATCTTTGTAAGCAACATTTCGTGCAAGTTTAGAGCTTACGTAAAAAAGATGTTTACATGCATGAATGTTTGCATGCATGATGGATGACATCACGAGTAAAATTCAGTACTTATAATTGAACCGTGGAACAAGTTCCTCATTGTGTGTTTTTAGCTGCGTTTAAAAAGTTTATGCTGATCGAATATCTGGTTCCAAAGATATGACCGAAAAAGTTAAATTATGTAAGAAAAATAGTGATACTCACTCACTTTTCTCTACGATGGCTGAACCGGCTGGTGAAATAACATTAAAAATAGGTACATTGTGTACATGTGAATCAACGACAACTATACAGCAAAACAATCTTATTTTTAATTGTGATGTAAACATTCATTCACGTAAACTTGTATTTCATTTCACACAAACGAGCAACTTGCAAGCAATGTTGTTTAAAAAGATGGGCATTTGTATACAATATTTGCAGCATTTCATGAAATGTCTCAGAACTTTATACGATTATTAATGTTAATTTATATGATATGTGACGCTCCATATATGAGCAACATATTGAACAGAAGTTTACACTACTTTTTCTAATAAACATAGTTCGAAAAAGTAGTGTAAATCTCTAACACATAAAAGAAGCGACACATCTCATCTATGTCTACACAGTTCGAAAAAGTAGTGTTAGTTTCTGTTCAATATGATGCACATAAATGGAGCGTCACATATCATATAAGTTTACATTATAAACCATGTGAAGTTCTGAGACATTTCATGCAATGTGGCAAATATTGTATACTTTGTAAACAACATTGTTTACAAGTTGTTCGGTTGCATGAAATGAAATACAAGTTTACGTGAATGAATGTTTACATCACAATTAAAATTCATAATTTTTATCTGTGTACATAAAAAATCGTGTAAAGTTCTGAGATATTTCATGAAATTTTGCAAATATTGTGTACAAAAGCCCACATTTGAAAACAACATTGCTTACACACTAAGCTTATTTTACAGATTTCTGTAAAATTTTACCGAAATCTCAACAGCTGACCGTTCGGTAAACAATTTTACAGTTATCCTGTAATTATTTACAGATATCTGTGAAAAATTCACAGATATTTGTGAAAAATTACAGAAAATTTGCGAAACTGTTTACCGAACGTTCAGCTGTTGAGATTTCGGTACAATTTTACAGATTTCTGTAAAAATTTCTAAGTGTGTACAAGTTGGTCGTTTGCGTGAAATGAATTACAAGCTTACGTTAATGAATGTTTACATCACAATTATAATTTAGCATTTTTTGCTGTGTATGTACTCAAAGCCTTTTCACTCAAAACTTATTTCTCCTACGCAACCTCAAGGCTGGGGATTTTTCCCTGCCTGATAGTGGTATTAGTTTGCGTGGGCAAGGTAGCTGTTTCGACGATTTAACATATGAAGTACACGGTTCGAAAAAGTGGTGTAAATTTCTGTGCAATGCACAGCAAAAAATTCTGAATTATAATTGTGGTGTGAACATTCATTCACGTAAGCTTGTATTTCATTTCACTGAAACGAGCAACTTGTAAGCAATGTGGTTTACAAATGTGGGCTTTTGTATACAATATTTGCAAAATTTCATGAAAAGCCTCAGACTTAGATGAGATGTGACGCTCCGTTTATGTGCATCATATTGAATAGAAATTTACACTACTTTTTTAACTGTGCAATTATATGATAGATAGAGTACGGCAGGGTGAAATTTTTAATTATAAATGTTCTAATTAGTTGGCCATTTTCAACCAGACCGTCGATTTCCGGCAAGCACTTTCAATAATTTGATATTACGTACACGCAATATTCAGCATATTTGCACATTGATAAAAATTCTGAATTTTAATTGTGATGTAAACACGTGAAGACTTGAATTTTATTTCACCAACCGAGCAACTTGCAAACGATGTTATTTACAAAGATGGGCTTTTGTATACAATATTTGCTACATTGCATGAAATGTGTCAGAACTTTACATGATATATAATGTAAACGTATATGATATGTTACGCTCCATTTATGTGCATAATATTGAGCAGAAATTTACACTACTTTTTCGAACTGTGTAGTTTGTATGAAAATCGGCGTATTGCGCTAATTTAAAGGCCACCACTGTAGAAGTTGAAATTGTGCAAAGGGCAATTTTTGATAACGGTACGGATTGAACGAGCATTTTATTTGCCTATGTGATAGACTCGGTGCTTGATGACTTTTAGACCGAGACTGGCAAAACAAATGGTTACCCGGTTTGCTCATAACCGCCAATATGGTGAAACAGTTCCATCGATGATTATCCACCTAAATCGGCCTTTGACGTAATCATCTAGTCAATGGTTTTGTATTGTAAATTTGTTATAACTACCTGCCTATTGTTTACTCTTTCGCCATAACCAACTTGGCTATCTCAGAGAGGGCAAGTAGGGTATGACGCTGCTGCTGTGTCGTTTTCCTAATTGAATCATATATTTGAGAAACCGCATAAGTCCATTTGATACACATGCTGGAAAGAAACATAAAACCGGACCAAGCTCCTATGTGGCTGCATTACAATATTGAGAGTCTAATAATGAAATCACTCATGTATGTTCATGTGTTTCAGCGATACTGATCTCCCTGAGACACCGTGAGTACTTTTTATGACAAATGATGTTGAAATATGATACTTTCTTACCTCCTGAAACAGCAAAAATACTACACTTGAAGACAAATAATGAGAAATATCAGTGATCAATTTGACTACGTTTAACGGTACCAATATAACTACTTTTTTTTTCCTTTATTAGAGAGACTTTAAGCCGTGGGCTGGTTACTACTGCAGAACAAGCTATGAATTATGCCCTCGAAAATAGATTCTTTCCATCTTTGCTTGATTCTCTATTCATATCAGACAGTTATGAGATTTAAGGTATTGTAGTATGTGAAAAATGAACCATTGCTCTATTTTGACCCTGATAATCACACAAATTGATGCGATGCTCCAAAAAACGCAACAAATGAGTGTTAAGTTCACATATACTCACCATCAAACAGCGATCTAGCAGACGATGTAACGGCTGATGCGGAGGATTCTCCTGTTAATGACAAACATTAAAATGGTTGTGGTTAATCAATTTTCCTCAAATCCATGTTATAACGTGGATGTTGGGTTTTTTTTTTAATTTATGTGCATCAGAATTTCCTGATGATGGTTTATTTACTTGTATAAAGGCACGTAATTTAAGTAACTGCATGTTACAAAGCCTTGTTCAAAAACCTGTTTATTACGGACCAAAAAAAAAAAGAAAAGAATATTATTTTCGAGCTACCAGCAATCTGTAATTGAACATTAATTTAAACTCACGCATTCTTCTACGGTAAGTTGAGTTTAAGTCAAGTTATTTTTAAATGTTTGGAAAATTAGAAGATACTGAGAAGCAATGTACACATCCCGAGCAGGAGAAATAACTTATGAATACCAAATTCAGGAATAATAACAGCATACCTGGCAATCTGAATATGGTATTGACGAGTCCAACTCAATTTTTTTACGTATAGCGAAAATAAAGCGATTGTGATGACCTACCTTTAGTCTCTAATGGAAACAGCTACTGGAGTAAAATTTAAAGGGTGTGTTTTGCACCATTCTACCCTACGATAATGATGATCATGTGATAAATCCCTTCTGTAAAGCTGATAGATTCGGCTAAGTTTCTTTGCCTGCACGTGTATCGCCAGGTGTGGCTAGTTAAACTACCCTTTTAGACCTGCCCAGAAGATCGTTAACCCAATTTTTTTGTTCTGGAGAAGCATTCCAAAATCTGCACATGGTGTGGCTAACTGCCGCCAATTAATATTGAGGTTTACATAAAAATGAGACAAATATCAATAAAATCGGTTGCGATTTGGATTTGCATGAGAATTAAAAAAAAATAGTATGAGAAACTTTTTAAAGGGTTGGTACACCAGTTATGGCTATACGCTCCTATTATGGTGTGTTCCAATTATGGAATATGCGAATTTCATGGGCAATAATTGAATCACACCGTAATAGGACCATATAGTCTTAACTTGTGCACCTACCCTATATGAAATAAATAGAATTTTTAATTTGGAAAACAAATCACATATTGCACTATTTGCTTTTAGATTACGATTTGGAAAACTACACAAAAGAACATATTTTTTTATATTTTTATTTTTATATTTCAACCCGAAAAATGCGAGTCTAAGTCATATAGATCGTCTCTTAATCGACATTCTCTTTCGATAATAACAACAAAACTGGTTCTTGTCTTATTTGTCGTATTAGATGTTAGATACAGTCAACTCTTCCTTACTCGATCTATTTTAAATTCGACACCCCAAAAATCCCAATCCTAAATAAAAATTAATTTGTTCATGTCAGAAACCTTAAGCACATTGATGGTGGTACGTTCGAACTCGGTTAAATTTTTATTACTAGCTCTGATTGAAAGATCTGTCGAATACAAGTTTAGGATCGTATTGATTAATATCAACATCCACATCAAAGCAGCCCTACATACGAGATCGGGATTTAATCTGAGAATAATAGGGGAGAGTGGACTTACTTGGTCCCTTGTTTCAAAACTAGATGTGGATTTTGCATGGTTAAATCAAACAAGGCAAACAAGGAAATATCTTTTGAAATTTTAAAAATTGTCAAAAGCATCCAAAACGATGTGTAAATTCTCGAAAAATAGTTTATATCTGAAAAATATCTAAAAGGGCATATTGAAAAATTGGAGGAAACTCAATCTCCTTTTAATACCAAACTATGAACTCTGGGACTTTTCATATGAAACTTTATTAATACTCTAGAGCTCTCACGTGGTATAGGGTTTATCGCTAAAACTCAGGATTAAGGCAATTTGTTTCTAATGTTACAAAACCAACGGTATTATTCGGTTTGTTTAGTTACAAATAGGTACTTGCAAATATTAGACGAATTTGTTTCAAATTTGAGTTTTATAAATGGGCTCTAATAAGATGCATTGGCTTTATTTTATAACCCCTTACAGTAAACGTTCTTAAAAGTATTATTTTTCTTTTCTGAATTTGACCAGAAAACACAGTTTTAAAGGTCAGGGGATCCCGTTTTAATAATATGATATGAATATTAATTGTTACACAATTTCTTGGATTGAATGCATAAAAATTCTGAGGGATCTGTTATCTTCAAAAAATATCATCGGGTAAATTTTTCATGCACTGAACAACTGAACAAATGATCAAAAGAAACAGCACCAACTCAATGATTATAATTGATTCCACTTATTCAAAGCTTAGTGCTTTGAAAATGTGGTATTTTGAGCAGGAACGAATATCTCGATACCTTAAATTGGTATGGATGAGCCTGACATAAAAGGTAAAATACCAACAAATAATACCACAATACCATTCCAATACCAAATTATGATAAGGCAATACCAAAACAATACTATACAGATATTCTTTTGGTATCTAAATATCAATTTTTGATATTTGCAAAGTAATTTGCATATATTTTTTGGTATTATTCTTTACCTCTTATGTCATGCTGATCAATACCAAATTTTGTTATCAGGTCAGAATTAGGTATTCATTAGTTATTTTCTCCTGCTCTGGTTTTGTTGGTCAATGCTGACTTAAAAAAAGTCTTACGAAGTGAAAACGTAAGATCTGTTCTTAAAACTAGAAACCTTCAACAAACTGCCGCAAATGTAACAATCACTTGAGAAAACAGGAGGGGAGAGGTGCATCAGATTTAAGCAGTTTCTCTTAGGTTGGAGTTTACCATCCTGAAGAGCCGTAAAAATTGACACCCTGCGTCAATCTATTTAACAACCGCTGCTTTAATAACACGAACTGGAGAAAGCTGTAATTCGATTTCATGTTTTGCCTCTAGCTGACAGAGAATAACTCATTAAGTATAATAAAAAACCTTTCATCTTAAACGAATTGATGAGATTTTGACAACATTTTCCATAAAATCAACATGGGATTTGCGTCACAAACAGGCTTTTGTTTTTCCAAATCAATCAAAGTGTATAATACGAAGAAAAAAGGGGTAACTTGAAGAAATGTTAAACCTCACTTTATCCCTTAGTATTTGACAAACCACACCAATCTGTCAAATACTGAAAAGTCAGGTTATGCACTTGCCTGTAGCAGCTTAAATATCAAGCTGCGGTTGTCCGTTGGAATGCATAATTAATTGTATCTGAATTGATAACTTTAAAACGATACTCAATGCTGCTTTCCCGTAGAACGAGTGTCAATGCCAGACTTCAAGCAAACTTGATATAAATTTCTTTTTTTATAATGCGTTTATTTTTCCAGGCTCATCAAAAATAAAGTTCTGAACTGGAAAATTAAGCACAATTTGGTCTCGATTCAATTCAAAAATGTCCTGTTCCACTCGTCGAAAAATTGATGCTGAATTATCCCTCTGAAGTGCACTTGAGCAGTTCTGTCAGCGAGCAACCCAACATCCATTTTCGTTGAAATTGCCGTCAACCCAGTAGCACACTCACCATCACCTGGACCAAGGGTGCGGGATAAAGGATACAGGGAGGAAATTTGCATAGCAGCGGTGTGGTACCAAGTTGAGCGGCAATTTTCCATCGTTCCTAATTCCGACTTACCATTGATGACATGCAGCGAAACGGTGATCGGTGGACTGTTCGATGGGCTGCACGAGTAGTTCCCGGAATCTTTTTTCCTTGTCGATTCGATGATCAATGAGCCAATCTGTGGAATTGTGAACAGAAAAAAAAGAAAAATGAATCACACTGGGAGAGATAGCAAAAGCGAGCGCAGAAATCATAAATCGACACACTGCCTGGTGGAAAAAAGTGAACATAAATTGCACTCGACGTACAAGTTGGATACACTATTTTCCTCAATCGCTTGGGACTCGAAGTGAAGCGAAGCGTCATGGGAAAAATCGACATCCAAGCAAAAGCCATTGAATTTGAATATTTTTGCTACACTAAATCAAACGTTTTTATTACGGAGGTGGATTGGTTTTCCAAGGATGATGTGTGGCAGAAGGATAGGAAGGAAGCTTCCCCTGCAGCCAATAACGTACTGAATAGGATGCCTTCATTCCAGATTTATCAGCTAAAATGTCTGTCACTGGAAGCAGAGAAGATGGTAAAATGTAACTCCCCGAAGCAAGATTAAAGTCACGACCGACGGTGAGCGATGGAGGAAAAAGCACAGCCCCATCGGTGGGTTCCCAAAGGCTGTCGCAAAACTGTTTGCTATCTGTTGACACTGCCACCGGGATATGGCTTATTTGGAAAACTACTACAGGCAAATGGAAAGCACTCAGCATGTCGAAAGATAAAAAAAAATGAATGAAAATGTATGCACACAAAAGAAAAACGAATAGCGAAGACAAGCGTCGGTTAGTGGGGTAAAATAAAGCTGAGACGCTTTATTCCAACGCAGCTGAGGAAAACTGTTATGATTGAGTTTGAAAAATTTCCTTCCAAGGGAAAACGCATTGTCAGATTCCATTTCCGTTGAAATGCATTGCTGAGATTCACTGGAATCGTTAAGGTGACGTTTTGCCGAAGCCTTATTTTTGAATGAACATCAGTACAACTATTTGGTCACCTTTAAGGTGTAATCGTACTTCAAAATGTTTTTTTTATGAGTTTAATAAAGTAGTTACTTGGGCTATCGAGGTTTATTTCTATTCAGTTTGGCCTTATGATGTGTAATGAGAGATATTTGATAGACATTTATTTGTTAACCGGTCAATTCTCGCGCCGTTGTAAAAAGTACAACTCGAAAGAAAAACAAAATATTTAAACTTTCTGCCTTTGGAACTCAATCAGCGTGAAACTCAACATGTTTCATTAAATTAAATACCCATGTCCAATAGACCAATATTTGAAGGATATTTTGAAGAATACCAAGTTCAAGTGCTCGTGTCACAAGAATTGACGCGAGTACTGGAAGGTTAACATCGACAGTTTCATTCTGGCTCCATTGATGGTTTAAAAGAGGAACATACAGTATTTAAAAAAAGTTTATCCACCCATATTGGGAATACGAAATTTTTAAGTTTTTCCGTCACAACGAAATTGTTTATATAAGTAAATCCACATAGTCTTCTAAAGGTTTTCATTACGCACCATTCCCGCATAACAAGTATTTGAGATTTTGTTTTTTGTGTAGGTTTATGCCAAGAATTAGAAAATGATCAATAAAAACAGACAAAAAATTCATCCAACCAAATGCGGTTAATAATATTTTGGGGTGTATTAACCATCACCTGTCCCTTTTTCGGATGTAAACATCACGTACCACTGTTATTCTACCGCCCGAAAGATTTTGGAGTCATAAGTTCGGATGTTTCGTTCCAAAATGCCCAAAGATCCACAAATATAGTTGAGTGTTCGAGAATTGATTATAAGGCATCACAAATCTGGCAAAAGTTATAATCAAATCGCTGATATTGTTCTGCTCCACAAAGATATGGCTGCTAAAATTGTACAGAAATACAAAATTTGTGGTTCAATCGTTCCATCAAAGCGTTCAGAACGTCCATCGAAGACCAGTTCTCGGATAGACAAGGCAATCGTCAACAAGACAAAGCAAAATCGTGGTTTATCCGCTCGCAAAATTGTGAAGCAAATTAAAAGTTTCTATTCACGTAACACCTCAAACAGTTCGAAACCGGCTTCATCAGCAAGGTTCTGAGGGTAGAGTGGCACTGAAGAAACCATGGTTATCGACTAAAATCATTTAAAAACGTCTGCAGTGGGCAAGAGATCACATATCATGGACCATCGACGACTGGAAGAAGGTCATTTGATCAGACGAAACTAAAGTAGTGCTATTTGGATCTGATGGTATCACACGAAAATGGTGGAAGACCGGTGAAAACTTGAAAATAAAAAATAGTGTTTGAAGTCTACAATCAAACATGGTGGAGGTAAATTCATGCAGCATTATCAAACTTCCAGTAAGTGTGCAGAAACTGAAGATGGGCCGTAGGTATACGTTACAGCAAGATGGGGATCCGAAGCATACCGCAAAAGTGGTATCGAAATGGTTCAAAGATCTTAAAATTAACGTTATGGAATGGCCAGAACAGTCCCCGACCTTAATCCAATAGAAAATTTGAGGTCTATTTTGAAAATTAAGGTTCGAGAACGACAACCAACAAGTCTTCAGCAATTGCGACAAGTAATTGAAACTGAATGGCACAAAATCACAGCAGAAACGACTGCCAAGTTTGTTGAATCTATGCCGCGACGATGTCAAGCTGTTATTGTGGTCAAAGGTGGACATACAAAATATTGAGTATCCGTCAGCTGTAAAGTGGATTTATTTATTTTTGCCTTATTTTTGATGGATTTTTGAAATATTCGACATCAGAACCTGAATTATCTTGGTTTCATGTTAATTTGTATATCTTTCCATTCACTCGTAACCAATAAAGGAATAAAATGACAACAAATAGTATTTTAATTTATTTTTATAAAAACAATCTTTAACGAGAATGTGCATATTGGCTGGGTGGATAAACTTTTTTTACATACCTATTGTAAAAGTAAGGTCAAGTGAATAAAATACGTATACTAAAACACATAGTCATTCACGGATAGTGAAAGTCGAATACCGAAGAGACTCAATTGAACAGTCGCTGTAAACCACCAATGGTATCATTCATGCTGTAGTTGGTGCGAAGATGAGGCAATCTAAGAAAAGCCTTGTTACCCGAGCAGGAGAAAATAACAAATGAATACTTCATTCTGATCTGTACCAAAATTTGGTGTTTTTTCTTCCTTGATTTGTTTTCCGTGCTGAGCACCAATGCTACCGATGCCAGGGAGGCAGCACCCACACCTGAACTCTACATATCGACCCATCAACTCATGAACCGGGAACCAACGGCTTTTTTTTCCCGGCGGTGCCGACTGGGATTGAACCCAAGCCTGCTGGGGTGAAAGGTAATCACACTGAAAATTTGGTGTTGTTCAGCATGACATTGGAGGTAAAATACCAAAAAATAATACGCAAAATGCTTTGTATATAACAAAATATGATATTTGGATACCAAAAGAATATCTGTAAAGTATTGTTTTGGTATTGCGTTTGCATAATTTGGTATTGGAATGGTATTGTGGGAAAACTTTTTTGTTGGTATTATTTTTTGTTAATATTAAGCTGTGCCAATATTCTATTCTGTTTTTTGTACGAATTCGAAGATTCTAGGGCAGACGAAACGGTTCTCTCCAATGCAGCTTCTGCAGAGCGAATTGAAGAAAATTACATCAAACGGAATCAAGTCTCTCAGCATAATTGTTACAGTTCTGATTCCAAATCACTGAACCGAATTCTAGAATGGACCGCACCAAGGAGCATTGCAGTGTTTCGCGACAATAGATGTCGGAGATATTCTTTGCTATCCTGAAAATGAAACCCAATCTCATTGACGCCTTGTCGCTAACATCTGAAATATGCTGGTTATATGTTAGATTCGAGTCCAGAATATCTCCCAGATCTTTAACATGCGTCACACGTTAAATAACTGTACCCATATGTTAATAATTAAACGGAACCGGTCCTTTCTGCGAAGAAATATGATTACTGAACACTTTGCTGGATTAACCATCATTTCGCAGGAGCTTGGCCTAATCTTAGAACCATAGGCGAACATTAGAGCCATTTCCCCTAGACTAATAAAGCATATTGGATGTTCAGTTTAATGGACGATGTTTCGGTCTTTGGGCTTGGCCTTCTTCAGGGGATATAAAGCTTAACCGTCTAAGTTCAGTTTTTGCGCTTTATGATCTTAAACTAAAATCTTTCCGTGGATTGGAAGCTGATCGAGTAGTGAACTTTGCCGGCCACCCAAAGACTTTCTTCGCTGCTGTTAAGCAGCCACCGAAAAATGCATTAAAGTCCGATGTGCACGGAATAAGATTTTTTTTACCGAGGGCTTGGGTCGCCACAAATCCTTTTAGCCCAAGAAACACAACAAAGTCTTCAACCAAGATCGTCTTGCTCTTCGACCTTCTCACCAAGGTCCGAAAGATGCACTTCGAAAAAACACTAAGTCCCTTCGTAAAAGGGCACTTGGAAAATTTTCACACTTGATCATCACCTGGGCTGATTGGGCAACAAAAATGATTATGTCCCTTTTTAGCGGGACTTGTAAGTATATCACCCGATATATAGCCAGTGTTCGGAAAAACTCAAAAAATCAAATCTCATGCATTAGTTTATGCGTCTATGAATTTGGCGTTGAAAAATTCAACGTAGCAAAAGTCAGCTGTGAGTTTTCAAGTTCAAAAATTAATTTCTTCATAATTTGGCGTTATTCTTTGTTATTACTATTGTTTGGGCATCAGGGGTTGAAGTACTAACATAACATGCATAAGCATGCTATCAATTGACGTTTGTGTGGTTTTTATGAGTTTAAAGCTCTATTGATTTTCAGCTTTGTGAGTGTGAATGTGTGAATAGGCATGATAATCTCAAGCGTGAATTTTGTTTGCCGCATTCGCACGCGAGTTTATTCTTGCAGGGTGGCTCAATCAATGAATAAGATTTGAGAATGATTTTTCGAACACTGAATATAGCATACAGATGATGGGCACAATTACCGTGATGTGTATGAACAAGAAGCGATCCACCGCACGTCCATTTCGAACTGTTTGTTATTCTTTTAATTTTGTCGAACCTCTTATCTGAATCCCTTTATGAAGAGCTTTTGAGTGTGTTGA